AGGCAGGGGATTAAAAAAACTCCTGAGAGGCTTATATTGAGTCCAACCAGTGGCCGACTCTTCAGGAAAGCCATGATGATACAGGATGATGTCGTGTGACAATAAATGCTACTTATTCCTCTGAGGTGCAATGAAACTGTATCACCTCAAAGTATATAAAAGTAAAAGTTACGAATAAAAAAATACTTGGTAAAATTACATGTACTTGAAAAAGTTACTATGCACCTCTGCTTCCACAAAAAACATTGTAAACAGGTATTACCACGCCATCCGCAAATGCTGCTTGAAGCTCTATCAAACAAAGAAGAAGCCACATGYGAACATCATTCAAAAGCATAGCATACTACTCCGTACTACAGAGCAGAGGGACCAACTCTGTTATTAGCTCACAATTTAAAAGCTTGTCTCTCTGCTGGTATAGGAGTACATTAGCTGGAAACTCATTGTCAATAGAGAAAAGAATATGTGGGTTCTAGAGCAACATATGATCCCATCCAAACATGATCTTCCATGGAGAAGGTCTTGTAACTTTCAGCAAGAAAAAGCTGAATGTTTGTTATTGCGTCGCTGAGGACACCTCTGTGTTTAAAATGGGTCGCATAAAGCTGAGCTGAACTGAGTTAAACTGGCCTGCTTGCAATCCAGACCTCACACCAAATGAAAACATTTAGTGCATCATAAAATCAAAACTCCAGCAAAGATGACCCAGCACAGTTAAACCGCCGTAGAGTCCTCCGTCAGACAAGAACGGGACAACCTTCCCCTTCTGAAACCTCAGACGTTCACAGACTGCTGGGGAAAGAAGAGGGGGTGCCTGAATGACGCCACCTTCCTTCTTAAAGGGTTATTTAACCTAAACAGGCATTTTGTCGGAGGGTGGTTCAGTAGACAAGTTGCAATTAGGGAGGGGGGGCGACGTTTGACCTGGATTTCCTCCGTGCTCGTTTTGAATCACCATGTGGGGTGTCACCATTTTGCCTTCTCAAGTAGCTTTGTCTGCTCTGCAGATTTTCTAATGAGGGGCTTTTGGAGGAGGATGACAAACCACTCTGTCCATCCTGTCATGGGGGGGGGGGGGTCCTTAAAGTAAACCAGTGATGCTCTGTCTCTGAATAGACTTAATACTAGACTCCCACCTCCACCCCCTCCTCCCTACAGCCCCGCTGGCAGCTTGGCAGCACTATTAGGACTGAGAAGGGTGGCATTAGTCTGAAAGTCTCATTATGTCAAATACAATGAAAACCACTAATCCAGCCTCCAAATTATAGGGGTAGAATTTTAGAAAAGGGAAGAAAAAACTGAAGAAGAATGCAGCTGTACTCAAAAATGCTCTTTGTTTGTACAGTATGGTGCAAAAGTCTTCAGCAGCTAATGTTTATTGTTATTATTATTATTATTATTATTATTATTATTATTATTATTATTATTATTATTGTTGTTATTATTATTATTATTATTATTTCAAACAGGATAGGGGAATCTGAATTTATTTTGTTCTAATTAATTTAAAAGCTGATTTTTGTTTGTTCTTAACTAAACAGTATTGAAATGTTAATTTTTTTTTAAGGAATCCTCTGAGTTAAAACCTGTGTACAAAATCTGTTTTCTCATCAAGCTTTTTTTTTTTTTGAAGCAGAGTTACAGCTGTTGGTCAAAAATCACAGGGATAAATGAAGCAACACCTTCACACCTGTTCCTCAGCACAGCAGTGGTTTATTGGGTGACGTTTGGATCACATTTGGGTTTTTGTTGGGTCAAACAGTTCTAAAAACAGTGATCCGTTTAAACGCTTCAGGAGGGGCAAAGTGTTAATCCAAAAACAAACATACAAAATCCAACACTGTTCACAAGAATCTATCGTGACAAAAAGCTCAGCAAAATAAGCAAAAATAATAAATTATACATCTTAATAGTCAGAATTTTAAGGAATGACTGTTTCAAAAGATTGTGCAAGTCCCGGATGTAAAAGTCTGATCATATCAGAGAACGTATTGATAAAACTGTAAGTGAATTTTTATAAAAATAATATATGCAAGTATGCAAATTCCTTTTCGTAAACAAGAGCAACTGAATCGTCCACTGAAAACATATCAAAACCTGCAAGTTTCACCCACAGATAAATATGATTTATTTTAAATACTTATAGGTGAACTTTTAATCTCCAGCTGCTTCTAGGTGATATTAAAACTGAACGTTTATCTTGGCATAAATAATCAGGGGATTATTTTGCAGAATGGGTAAAAATAGGGCTCTGTGAGGAGCAAAACCTGCAGATTAAGAGTAAAGACCACGAGGACAGACAGCAGCATTCTGCTAAATGTCACTTTAATTTTCTGTGGGCAGATGATTTTTGTGACAGATAGAACAAAAATAAGCAGCGTGACGCTGTTCATAAACTGTGATTTATTTGCAAAAAAAAATGAAAATAAAAATCATCACAACTATTTTAAGGAAGGCAAGAGTGGAAACAGAGCTCTGTAAATGTGATGGTTTCTTTAAACTGGAACATGTCTGCCCTCTGCTGTTTGGGTTGAACAGTACAACATTTGCTCTGTAGAGTTTTACAGTCCAGTGGTTCTCAAAGTTGGGGTCGGGGCTCCACTGTGGGTCCTGAAACATCAAGGTGGGGTCTTGAAAAGATTTTCAGAATTATTTACTTGGCCTGATGCCAATGTTTATCACCCCAAAAATAGTTGGGGGCACAGGTCTCTGCTGCTGTTAATTTTTTGGGCCCAAACAGACGAGCCATAACAT